TCGTGAACTCGGCAACCAGGGTACCGTTTTTTTTTTGCCTCTTTGTTTTGGCGGTAACCATAGTGGTGGTCGAGTGGATCATGTTGTGAGGGGTGGACAATCCTCACTCCGCTCAAGGGGGATGATCGCACCACGATGTGCAAAAATGGTCACGCATCCTCGAGGCAGTTACACAGTGCTTATAACTGTCAAAGGAAGAGAAAGCACCAGAAAACAAATTAGGTCATACGCAGCTGTCATCCGTACGCAAGGAAGTAAGCACAAGATGCCGAACACCCTTAGTAGTATGCAGCGCACCCTTCATGCGACTCGCCGAAGACCTCACGGCCCTTCGCGCTTGGTGATGTGAGCCTGGTCCGGTGAAAACCCGGCGTGCTCCGTCCCTGTGTTGTAGGGATGCGAGGTCAACGGTCTAACGACGACAGCATGCACGACTATGAGTACCCCCCCCCCCCCGCCCGCCCGATGCCTGCTTGCTGCAAGTATTATTGTTGACAATGTACATCCGTCAGCTGTACCAAGAACTACACTGCTGCAAAGGGGGAGAGAATGCCCTCCATTCCTCGATGGAACACTATTACCCTCCTCTCACACTTCAATGCTATTTCGCCGCTGATCGGTAACCTCCAGGTCGAGTCGCCGGGACCTCCGCTGCAACATGTAACATCGTCCAAAGCGTTTTCTCGGGTCCTCATGACATTCACAACGGGTCCAAGCTTCGACGGGGGAAGCGGAGAAATATCCCGCTTGCCATGTAGAGTATTTTATTTTTTCATATGGTGCATGATATCATTGTTGCTCTCGCTGGTGCATGAGGGCGCCTGGTGCGGGATGAGAGCCAGGTATTTTCTTACTGTGTTGTGCGTGGCAAGGCGTTTGGAATCTGTCGCTGCTGCCTCTTGGCTTCGTCCGCGCCGTTTGTTGTCCGTGCGAATTGTGGCTTTTGGGGGAGGGGAGGAAGGGGTTGTTTCGATGGTGTTGGGAACATAAAGAGGTCTATTTCTGCAGTCTGCATTGTTTTTGGAGGACACCGCTGTCGCAGCTGGCTCCGTCTCAGGCAGTGAGGTTTTTCCTTGACTAGAGTTAGTTGTAGAATTTGGGACGGCCGGGGCGTGGGGGGGGTTCTGTGTATCGTGTCGGGAGAGACGGTCGTTTCTACCTGTGCGTTTGGACAACACTGCTGCCGCTACGTGTAGCTGTTGTCTCCGGCTGAGCGGTGTTTCCTCACAACAAAGGTAGTCTGTTGCGGGGGTTGTGGGTCGTCTCCATGATCGACGTCACTGACGGTCACGGGCGAGGGCATGCTGGTGTGGGGGGACATTCAATGTACAGCACGACGTTCTGAAGGGTATGTATGTATTGTTTCAATTTGAAGTACCTTTTATGGTTCTCGCTTACATGTAATCGTGCAACTTGGGATGTTGACGACCTTGGGTAGAGATGATAAGCCGCGGGCGGAGATGAGCTTAAGCTAGAGCTACTGGCATAGTGTATGATGCATGGGTACGGGATGTCGTTGTTTCAGAGTTTTGCTCGGGAATGTACCGACGGTAAAATCGTAGACTAGTGATTCGAATACAGGGGCGAAAAAACAAATGAAACATGAACAACAAAAAACGTAGTGCAGGGGAATTGAACCCGCCACATACAGACTAGTGTTGAGCACTGCAGTTCGTTGTAGAGCGTCCGCATCGTGCGCAATCTACAAGAGAGGGTACGCATTGCAATACCATCGGCAACCTGCCCCCTCATCGGCTTGTGCGCAACGCGTCAACCTGCAAGAACGGGTACACCTTGCACTGTTACCGGCAACCTGCCCCCCAACTGGCTTGTGCGAAGTGCGCCAACCTGCAAAAAAGGGTACACCTTGTCCATTCCATAGGCAACCTACCCCCTAACCGACTTGTGCATGGCGCGCCAACCTCCAAGAAAGGGTACACCTTGTCCATTCCATAGGCAACCTACCCCCTAACCGACTTGTGCATGGCGCGCCAACCTCCAAGAAAGGGTACACCTTGTCCATTCCATAGGCAACCTACCCCCTAACCGACTTGTGCATGGCGCGCCAACCTCCAAGAAAGGGTACACCTTGCGCTGACGTCGGCAGCCTACCCGCTGTCCAGCTTGTTAGCAGTGCACCAAACACAAGAAATGGTGCACCTTGCACCGCCATCGACAGCTTGACCCCTATCCGGCTTGTTACAGCGCATCAACCACCAAGAAAGGGTACACCTTGCGCCGCCATCGGCAGTCCGCCCCCTGTCCAGCTTGTTGGCAGTGCACAATCACCAAGGAAGGGTACACTTTGTACTACCATCGGTAACCTGCCCCCTGTCCGACTTGAAAACAACGCGCAACCTCCGACAAACAAACGTATACCTTGCACAACCAGGCCATCGTTGCATTGCGAGGATTACCCAAGGTGGGGAGGTTGCAACTCGTGCCACAATAAATTTCGATCCAGGTTGGAAATAGTGCCCCTACAACCCGGTGTGTTGGCCACCCGTGTTGCTATTGGGCTTTTGACCTTGGCACTCTAACATCAACCTCGAGCACTGATCTAGGGCGACACAGGAGAGCATTCCTCCCCCAGAGCAATATCGCAAGAGGGTCCGGCGACAGAATACAATAGAACAAGTAGGACAGGTTTCTGCGGATGATGCACGTGAGTTTGCCGCCTTCGCGTAGTTGGCGGCAACAATCTCAATTGAAACGGCCCCCGGCCAGTTAGGGAGTAGCGGCGTTTTGTCTCGTCGTCGTTCTGACGCGTTCTGCATTTTTGACAGCAATATTCTTCCATGGGAGTGAGACCCTGGTTGTACTCACAGCATATTCGTTGCCCTTGCTATTCGCGCAGGGACGGTACGGCTAGCGCTTGACACACTCTGACCTGATGGATGACGGCCCCGTTGTTCAGTTCAGTGATGACCATGAGCCGCGGCATGTAGATGGATCGGTTCAACTCGTTAGTGTACTTTTGTATCTCGAATGAACACCGCCCTCGCCCCAAGAACTCACCAACAACAAATCCACAGCCCACTTGCACCACCATTTGACATCGCCATCCCACACCAGAACTAACTCAAGACAAAGGACCGCGTCAAGAACAAGGGTAAGGCTGATGAGCTCCGCTGCCACCACATGGCATCGCCTCGACCATGTCCTAGTGGTTGGGAGCTGATGGCAGATCCCAACCGTTTTCAGGGAGAGCGTTTAGTTTTGGGTTTAGGTCTGAACAGAACTTTTCGCATTTCGATTTCACATCCAGATTTAGTTGCAGAGCACAATATCCCTAACTCTCACAGGTTCACCCGAACTCAAGTTGGGGTTTGAAGAAAGCAAAAAAAAAAAGGAAACAAACCCGGACATACGGGTAAATCGGAACCAAAGATAGCGACTAGCGGTCTGCTGGGGCGCACGGCGCGGGCGCATGTTCCCCTATATACCTGCAGTAGGCTGGGTCGTGCGCCCCCCGTGAATATGTGTTGCTTTTGTTTTGGTACACACACCCGAAATGTTGTTGATGCGATGTTGTTGATGCGATGTTGATGCGAATCGTTGTTGTCGGCACTCCGTATGCGTTAGTAAATGAAGAAGTACAAAAAAATGCCCCACCACTCAGAACACAGCAGCAGCAGCAGAATATTTGAACTAGCACGCGAGTTGTCGCCGATCGCGAGCCCCTCCTCACTACGCCCTGTCGTGGGCTGCAAACCACACGCGAACACCCTATGTGATATNCAAAGAGAGGACAAACCGGGTGTGAACGAGTGACTTAGGGGTTGGTGCAAGGAAACAACGACGCGAGAAGTGTTCACCTATTAGGAGTCGGCTTGGGCACTCGTTATTTTTGCAGAACGTCGCCAATTGGCGCAGTTATCGATGAAACGGATTGTGAATAGAGTACATATCGGCACCGCACGCAGCGACGCGGGCACGAAATGAGAAATGCTTGGGTGCCGAATGATGGCCTTGTTACGCTACAGCTTGTGCACTTTTCCGCACCGAAA